ATTGGAAGCTCTTCAAAGCCTTCTATCCCCTGCCACCTTACTTCTCCCTAGCAGTGCCTTGAGTTCCGTGGACATAGTGGGGATTTGCAAGATAGCTGAGAGGCCCATGAATGTTATGAGTTTGAACCATGGGAGCTTGCTAACATGCTACCACTTTTTTATGTTAAAAAGGTATGGTCCAATGTACTGTTTAGGTGTTCAGATTTGACCCATTTCATCTTGGGCTTCTTCCCACAGATCTGTGGAGTAGTCCTTTCCTGGGAATAGTCTCAAGTCCTGGGTGGGGAAGGATGGCCTGGGGATCCCCTCTTGCCTCTGCATCCTAGCTTTTCACAGTTGCTACCAGAACCCAAGTCCAAGGAGTGGTCTTTCCCCCACCCCAGGTATCTGTCAAGGAAGAGTCTGTTTTACCAGTTGGAATGGATAAGTCCTGGCCAATGTGTAAACCGTTAAAAAATTACTCAAGACATTTTTAGAGATGATAAGAAAGACTGTATTTAAAGGGGCTACTGCAATAGGGTTTTGCGGTACAATAGAGAGATTGGGCTCAACTCCACATACAACAAGGAAAAGTGGGGGTTTATAGACGAGGAGCAGGGTGCGAGTCAACGGGTGGAAAATTCCTAAGAGGAGACATCAGGACTAGCTAGATTCTTGCTAAACTGACTCAATAAGATTCTTGTGGAAGACTGGCCAGGGTGACTCCATATCACCTGGGGCACCAAGCGGATGAGGAAATTGATCATCTATTAAGGATGATCATATGTTGAGGGTGGGAATTCACTGACTTGCAGGATTCTAGCTGAAACTGGACTCGATAAGGACAGAGATGGAAGCCCAAGGTTGGGCCTCGTTGAGCAGAGGGCTCAGGGGAGCCTCACTAAAGTTTGGTCAAGGAAAGAATCTTTGTTAAAAAATCACTGTGTTGATCAAAGTTAGAACTGGGTTTTTCTCCAAGTTCCTTTGTGAATTTTCAGCCTGGGTCATTCTGTTTCCTAAATACAACACTTCTACAGTGACCCAAATACATCTATACTTGACAAAAATCAGTATTTAAATCAGACAGTAGTTCAGAGCTTCTTCTGAGCTAGAAAAATCTGCCATTTATTTTTAAACTATGAATGTTCACGGAAGACCAGGGGTCAGAGGCTCTGCCCATCTGATGTGAAAATAGCTGTTTCTAATTCTAACAACTGATCAGTTCAGTTCTGGGGGGGGGGGGATCACAAAGGTTGTTTGAATTTTAGTCAAAAATAGTCAATCTATTGACTTTCGATTAACCTGTGTGTTTCCTGGAAAACCCCCAGAAATGAATTTTTATCATCATCCCCTCTGAAAGAAGGAACATGTCAGTTTCTGCCTGCTGGAATCTTTCTTACAAAATTCATGACTGCTAGAGGCTGTCACAGGTGACTGACCCTGTGTTCAGAGATGTGGGCTTGAGTGAGCAGGAGCATAGGCACCCTACGGTCACCATAGCCTTCTTCCTTTGTGTGCCACACTTGCACAAATGCTCAGGCTTGCACACAGCCACCTTCATAGAAATGTACACATAGAGACAAAAACACAGAGATCACCCACAAACGCACACTCACACAGTATGTACTGCCACACTGCCCGCTGCTAGCAGGAGGGGAGCAGAAACAGGAAGATGGTTAAACTCAATCTCAGTTTAATTAGGCTCTTAAATGGGGTAAGGTTCAGAAAACATAGACTAGTGCAATTCAGAAAAAATGGCCAGAGGGCTAAATTAGGACGCAGAGCAAGCAGCCGGCTGAAGGCTGAGAAGGGGAAAGTACTCTGGGGGGTGTTGGTGAGAATAATTCAGTGGTAATTGAAGGTCTGGGTAGTTGCAGGTCTGGATCTAAAGTAGCTGTGTGACTTTGGGGCAGTCACTTTATCTCTCTGGGTCTCAGTTTTTCTACCTGTAAAAAGTGAGCATTGGAATAATGTGGTAGTTCTCAAATTTTAGCTTCAGTCAGAATCACCTAGAAGGCTTATTAAAGCAAATTGCTGGGCTGCACCCCCAGTTTCTGACTCAGGCTATGGAAGGTGAGGATTAGTAATTTACGTTTCTAACAAGTTTCCAGGTGCTGCTGCTGCTGCTGGTCTGGGGGACTACACTTTGAGAAGCACAAGAGTAGAACTCTCTGGACCTTATTAGGTAAAAACAATTGCAAAACACTAAATTCTGTAACTATGGGCAGACATCAGGACTAAATATAACTAAGTTGTTGGGGTTCTCAGCTGAGGGGGATTTTTGCCCTGCAGGGGCCATTTGGCAATGTCTGGAGACATTTTTGATTGTGTCAAATCAGGGCATTGTTGCTACTGGCATCTTGTAAGTAGAGGCTAGAGATGCTGTTAAATATCCTACAATGCACAGGACAGCCCTCACAACAAAGAATTATCTGGTTTAAAATATCACTATTGCGGAGGTTGAGAAACCCTGCTCTAAGTGACCCAGTTCAGATAGGTCTGAATTTGTATAAGAATGGTGGTAAGCTCTTATTTCTAGGAAGGAAAAGGTCCACAGAAACTATCTGACATTCTGTGAGCTAGAGCTTTCTCCTTGCTCCAGGACCTCATGGAAGGCTGAGCAGGACAATTGTGACTCTTGGGAAGTGTGGAGATCTCAGACCCCAGGGAAGCCTCCCAACGAAGCACAAAGGCTGTTTCCCAGCAGGGCGCATTCCCAAAGCAGCATCCATCCAGGATCGGGCAGGCCCTGCACTGGATGAGGACAGCAGTACTCATAGGTGTTGATTGCATTGTGTTTCTTTTCTCTGCTTCCAACCCATGGGCTAGCGAACGAATGAGGGCGGCCCTTGTGGGTTCTGATTAGAAGCTTCATATATTAAGTCCCTAAATGTGCAGAATGTCCTAAGCCAGAAAGACTCGTGTGTGTGTGTGTGTGTGTGTGTGTGTGTGTGTGTGTGTGTGTGTGTGCGCGCGCGCGCGTTGAGAACCTCATATTCAAACCGTTCCCTATTTCTGCACCTCATCCTGCCAATTACAATCTGCTTGGTGGTGTGAAACTGACAGCCGGCAGCAGTGATGGAGACAGGAGAACGATGAACAGGGCTTTGTGCATTCTCAGCTTTAGAGAGAATGTTCAGTGGGGCGGACAGGCATGTAACTGGCAGGTTCAGGAATCAGTAAAAACTAAGAACTGGAAGTCCTAATTTATTGTCTGTTTCAATACAAGGCTAGACACAGGCTATTTAATAGAATGCATTGTTTACAAGTGGAGGAGAGTGGAAGTTATTGATGTGTTACAAATGCAAGCAAATGCATCTCATAAGCCAAGGGGTAGGTAATAACAATTGCAGAAGACTAAATTTGACTTTAATCCCCTGAAGAATGGCATGCACACAGCTTAAAATGATAAAAGCTAGAGGGGGTGTGGGGGGGAGGAAAGTAGGGAGGGATAGGGGAGGCTGAGGGAGACTGAGGGAGACAGGAGGAGATGGGGGGTGGGGCGGGAAAGAGAGAGAGAAGAGCTGATTTTCTCCTGGAATTATGTATTTCTTGATTAGGAAATAGAGTGGAAATTAAAAGAAAATATTTTTTTAAGCCTTGTGTTGATACACAGCATCATGCTTGGCAGAGTGTTTTCGGGTAGCAGGTCTGGCGTCATGGTCAACAGCTTGGAGTGATTTAAAGACCTGCCAATCCCTTAGCTAATCCCAAAGGCAGAAATAGAAAACAAGTCCTGGTTTGATTAGTGCATGTAGGCTGTTCTGTGTTTCCCTCCCAGGGTCATTAGAGCCACAGTAGCTGGGTGTTAACAAGCTTGCCTTATCTTTGTGGTTAAAATTCCCCCACTGTCTGCATGATGCTTTGGATGCAGTAGGTGTCTGGTGAATGCTGGCTGAGTGAACATGGGGTGATGCAGATGCCCATGAAGCAATGATGGACTGGATTCCATATTTCAGAGTCTCCGGGGCAAAAGTGGCTTTAGAGTAAGCGAAATGGGTCCCCTCCCCATCCATGCTGAAATCTCTCCTCTGCAATATTATTGACAATGGTGTCCAAGTTCTGAGTAAAAAGCCATATGATAGGGTACTTCTTACCCCTGAGGCAGCCCACTCTTTCTTGGATTGGGGTTTAATAACAGTCAACATTGATTGGGTGCTTACTCCGTGGCAGTCACTGTGCTAACATCTCCATGTGGCATATTTCTGTTTATGCTTACATCCCACTAAGGAGCTATTAAGCATCATTTCCTTTTAAAGATGTGGAAACGAAGTCACAGTTTTTACAGCTGGCAACTGGAGGAGGAGGCTGACTCTGGAGGGCCCGCTGGTCATGGATAAGGATATTCTTCCTGTGTTGACCTGAAGTTTGCCTCCATTCCCATCCAGTGGTCTCACTGCAGTTGTCAGTCTCATGGGCTGCTGTGCCCAATGCTGGATTTCTGTTATCAACACGGTTCACATTTGCCTGGTTTATGGATGTGTTGCAGTGTACCATCTGCCTTCTCTGGTAATCCAGTGGCAAACAGAGGGAGAAAGAAGATTGGCACTGGAAGGTTTTTCTGTGACAGCTTTCTAACTGTGACGGCCAAGTGCATCCAGCCTGGGTCATGGAGCACAGAGAGTCTCTAGTCCTAACTGCAGGAAGGAGTTATTTGTGGATCACTTGGAGATAAACAAATGAATGTACTCTGGAGAACAAACAGTGGTCTCAGTAACCCCGTCTGTGTGCTTAAGCTGGTTGAATCCTGAGGGGAACCAGTAATTTCACCTCTTTAGGCTAAGTCTAATAGGGTAGGTCCTCAGTAAACATTTGTTGACTATTTGATCTGACAGTATTTTCTGGCTGATGGTCATACTGCCAGCCCTTGTCCTCAGAAGGGCTGAGCCTGGAGAGAGAAAACATTTTTTTAATTTGGGAGAATGATCTTGACTGTTTGCCTATGACTTTGGGGTCCTCACAGCCTGGGGTCCTATGCCTTTGCAACGGGCTTATATTTTTGTGCTTCATGTTTTATGGATGTTTACCCTTGAGTCATGATGGGAGTCTTTGCTTGATCCTGGTTTCCTGTAGAAACTGGTGGACAAGTCACTTCCTCTCTCTGGGATAGGTAAGTCCTCCCAGATGCCTCAAAGAGAGAGGCTAAACTATTCCAAACAAAATATATGGCATGCCCCAAACCATTTTGATTATTTTTTTCTTTTTCTGAACGCTGTTTCTTCTAATGGCACCTTAGTGTTCACAGTCAAACAAGCTTGACAAATCGGAGGTATCTTTTACCTCTCTCCTGACTCTCACATGCAATCGATTGCCCATCCTAGTAACTTTATCTTCTAAGTGTCTCCTAGGCCAGGTCAGGAGTTCATTCTTTTTCTTTTTAACAATTGCAGGAATCTCCTAACTGGTTTTCTTGCCCCCAGCTCTCAATCCACTTTGCTCCTGCCCACAGGCAGGGAGAGTTTACTAATGCAGTTTTCCAAACTGTGCCCCGAGGAGCCCTAGGGTTTCTCAGAGATGTTGTAAGGGCTTTTCAACAAGTGAAGGGCCGGGGCTCAAATCTGAAGGGGTCCCTAGGCACCCTCATTGCAAGTCAACCAGTTCCAATTAAAATTTCTTTTGAGACCTGAAAAAAAATAAAATAAAAAGCCATAGAGGATTAGCTCTACTTTTTATCTGTTGCAGGAATTCCGTATGAGATTTCACTTAGAGAAATCTGTTGCTAAGCTTCCTAAAAACCTTTGTCTAAAACACAGACTTTGCTGAAAAAACTATAAAATATAGTCTTAGTCTAGATTTGAAAGCTCTCTAGGGAGGGTTTGAGGAACCATTTACTCAACTCACCTCTTTGGTTCCCAAAGGCTAGTGGGGCCTGGGGACTTTTGAGTTTCTTACAAACCAGGGTGGGGACCCTGGGAGTGGGGAATGGAAGAAAGTTTGGTTGAGTTGATTCAGTTGCTGTAAGACTTGTTATCAGTTCACTGGAAATGCAACATGGGAAATGGTTGGAACCGAATGAAATCTAACAGGGAAACCCCTTAGATACCCCATCACAAGCCAGCAGAAGGCATTTTTTTCTTCTCTTGTTGGCAGGGTAATGCACTTTGGAAGCCTAGAGAAGAAGATAACATCTAGTGCATTATTGTCTCATTTGTGCTTTACAAGCAAAACCAAAGATGACAGCAGCTCAGTTCAAGTAGAACAAAAGAAATGAGGCATTTGTTCCCCAACTTTCTTTCTGGTCTCAGATGTGGAGCACATAAGGTTTTCCAAAGTTGGTTGGAGTCAGGTGTGCACTATCCTGGAAAAGTTGTGACCTTGGTTCAGGAAACGTTACTGATTCTGGTTGTCATATACATGACCAACTCTTGACTGGGATGATTACAGGAATAAATGAGTCAGTGAATGTGAAAGGAAATCTAACATTTACCAAATGCTTCCTTTATGCAGGGATTTAAAACAGGTCAGTCTGATGGCAATGCCTATGTTCTCATTACCATAGCATGCCATTGAGGTCATTTAGAAAGTGTTACTATTATTGTTATCATCATCATCATCATCATCATAATTGTTGTTATTCTCTTAGTGTTTGAGAGAGCATGAAACTACAGGTCTCATACAGGAATTAGGCTGTATTTTTAAAATGATTTTTCTATGGCCTCACCAAAAGAGATTTAAATTGGTTCAGAATAAAACACATGGAACTGATAAAACTTAAACCATTAAAACAAGAGTAAGATAATAAGGGCTGACTGAGTACCTCAGTTGGTTAAGAGCACGAGCTCTGGCAACAGGCTCGCCGGTTCGATTCCCACATGGGTCAGTGAGCTGTGCCTGAGCTGAGCTGCCACTGAGCTGCCGCTGAGCAGCCAGATGGCTCAGTGGTTAGAGTGTGCGCTCTTAGCAACAAGGTTTCCGGTTTGACTCCTGCATTGGATGATGGGCTATGCCCACCTGCAACTAATATTGAACATGGCACCTTGAGCTGAGCAGCCGAGAGCTGCCGACGGGTGGCTGGATGGTGACTGGACTTGGAGGGAGCTAACTGCACCCTCCACAACTAAGATTGAAGGACAACAGCTTGGCTGTTCCCCTTCCCCAATTCTCCAACCCTGTTCTCCTTCCCCAGTTCCCCAGTAAAAAATCTTAAAAAAAAAAGAGTAAGATAATAAGAACCAAGTAATAAAAGGGAGTCAGAAAGTACAGATGGTCCTCGATTTAATGATGGTTCAACTTATGATTTTTCAACTTTACGATGGTGCTAAAGTGATCCGTATTCAGTAGAAACATACTTAGAAATTTGAATTTTGATCTTTTTCTGAGCTCCCAATATGCAGTATGATACTCGCTTGTGATGCTGGCAGAGGCAGCAAGCCACAGCTTCCAGTCAGCTTTGCGATCATGAGGGTAAACAACTGACAGACACTCTACAGTGTACTGTGTTCCTAGCGTTTTTTGGATATTGTGTTCTGGGCACATTTAAAGCAGGTTAGGCTAAGCTATGATGTTCAGTAGGTTAGGTATGTTACATGCATTTTCTTTTTCTTTTCTTTTTTTTTTTTAGCTGAGCCATCCTGCCACCTATTGGCAGCTCAGCAGCAGCTCAGCTCAGGCCGGGAATCAAACTGCTGTTGCTCAGAGCTCAAACTCTTGAGCGAGCTCTTAACCAACTGAGCCACTCGACTGGCCCTTAAATGCATTTTCGACATGATATTTTCAACTTATGATGGGTTTACTGGGACATAACTCCATCATAGGTCAAGGAGCATTTGTACTTATAAAATCAGAAAATGTAGGCTTGATAGCAGTTTGCCTTGACTCCTAAAACCCAGTTGTGAATGTCTCTTTTAAACTCCATGTTCAGTGATATCACATTGGAAATAGCAGTGGTGGGAGTATTTATACCACTGAAATTGGCAAATGCCTCAGACCAGAGATATGCTCCCTTCTCCCCCAAACAGGAGTGCTGGTTGTAAATATTTACCAGTGGCAACTCTGGGCTATGAACCCTACTACAGCTAGCCTGATGTGCTCCTGTTATTTGATCTGCTCTCTATGGAGTGCTGGCTATCAACTCCCTGCATTCAGTGGGAGTGGTTTCCATTGTGACTGCTAGTGGCAGTGGTGATGGCATGGCCCACATGGGTGAGTGACTAAGATGTGAAGCATTGTCTCAGAGATCCTTTGTTTTGGGGAAATAAAACCCTCTCAAGCTGGCTTAAGCAAAAAGGGAAGGTCATTAGAAGGATACATATGTGTCTCAAAGAACCCAAAGACACCTGGGTCTCACAAAGAGCTGCAACCAGCAATTGGAAAGCCCTCAGGAGGGAAGGGCACTCTCTCTCTCTCTCTCTCTCTCTCTCTCTCTCTCCCCCCCCCTCCCCCTCTCCCCCTCCCTCTTCCTCTCTCCTATACATATTCTCATTCTGCTTCTCTCTGGGTAAGTGCTTCATTTTTTTCTCTTTGAAGACCACATTTCTCAGGTCTACTTCCATATGGATCCAACATCATTTATCTAGTCTTGACCATATCCCAGTTTAAGTACTCCAAGGCGGCTAGCTAGAATTTCTGAAACAATGACTGCTTCTTGGAAGAGAGAATCTGATTGGTACAGTTTGGATCAAGTGGTTCTTCCGTGTCCAGCTGGCTGTGGATGAGAGGATGAGGTCACTTGCCATTGCTTACTCAACAGGAACATTGGAACAAGAGTCCCTGATAAGAGGCAAAGCAAGGCAGGAATACAAATGGACGAAGGTGTCTGTTATATGTATGCATTTATGTTCCTTGGCATTTGTGCCAATTTTGAAGGATGAGGATGCCAAATCTAGACAAGACACAGCGTATTCGTTAGATCCCCTTTGAATGTGCATAGTCATCCTCTCTGACAATAATGAATTGTACTAAAGGAAGAAAATTAACTCTGTTCTTAATCTGTAATGTTCACATTTCTGATAATTCATTCTATGTGAAAGGAAAGAGGTGAATGGTGAGGAATGGGGAGGACAAAAAGAACCCTAGCGGTGAGGAAACATGGCAGTGAGGAAAGATATCAAGCCATCTTCTGGCCTGGGCTCTGTCTCTTGAGAGTGAGCATGTAATTTTTCCCAGACAGATAACTCTATATCATATTTAGACCTTGAGTGTTAAAGCCAGATGAAGCATTTTTTGTTGAAGAAACGCTTACTGTATTTGTGTTATTTCCCTACTTTCCCACATGGATAAAATGGGAAATAGTGTATGGAGAAAGGATCCAGGTAAGTTTGTATGTGCTGTGTACCTGTGACCTTGACCAGAACACCTTTTACTGAGGAATGGTGAGGGAGGTGCAATGGAGCTGTATAATGGTATCAGTGGGTGATATATGCTGCTGAGTGTGGGATGCAGACATCACGGTCATTGCTCTGATTTACTGAGCACCTACTATGTACCAGGCACTGCTTCAAATACTATCCATCCATAATTTTTAAGCCTTGCTACAGCCTTGCTCTATAGATGCCTGTATTATCATCTTGACATTGCAGGTAGACAGCTGGAGTTCTAGAGGCAGCCAGAGATACAGAGATACATGGTTGGTTCATGGGAGGGCCAGGAATCAGAGCCATCTCTCCGGTGTTAAAGTCCACCCCTCCCCCCCACCCTTTTTTCATATCTTCCTCCTTCCAGAAATAGATTCAGAGGTGGAAAAAGGAATCCAATGCAGAGCCATCTGTAAAGGTACTGAAAAAAAAATGGTAATGACTTATTTTCATTAGGATTTCATTTCAGATTTATTTTCATTCCAGCTTCCATGTGGTGATGATTAGATACCTTATTTGAAGTTGATATCATTAGCAGTTATAAACCAGGTCATGCGGAGCCTTAGAAATCTCTCTTTAAAAATGACAAAAGTATATACGTGTGTATTTTATTTCTTTCAGTGACTGGCCACCGACATAAAACATATTCTCACCCCTGCTCAGTGAAGTGAGCAGAATATACTCAGGCTGGAGAGCAGTGGACAGGGTGAGGGGGACCCTGTGTGGACCGAGGACGAGGGGCAGAATGGTAAACAACACTGCTTCCGGGGCTTGGGCTTCAAACCAAAGAATAGTGTTCCTGGGTGATTTGTCATGGAGAACTATTTGCCACACATTTGTCTTTTTTAGCCATGTCTCCTCCCCCTGAAAGTAAAACAACAAGACGTACCTTATTTATTTATTTATTTATTTATTTATTTATTTAATTTTGAAGAACTGAAAAGCCTTTTAGAAGCATTGTCCAGAAAGCCAAGAAGCATCAGTGATTTATTGCTCTGAACTTTGAAATCTTGGTAGTTGGATATCACTGCTTTCCTACATTCCTGAGGCCCAGATGTTCTGTATATATTGTTAAGATCATGTGGCAACTAATTCAGGTTATTTGGAAATCATTTCAACCACAGAGCCAGATATTTTGGGGAACATTAAAAATTCTCACTTGGAAATCAATTTTTTTATATCATATTTTAAAATTATGTGGTAAACTACAGATAACATAAACCCCACGATTTAAACCATTTAAGTGTACAGTTCAGTGGCATTAAGTACATTCACATTGTTGTGCAACCATCACCACCATCCATCTCCAGAACTTTTTACATCTTCCCAAACTGAAACTCTGTTCAGTGATAAGACCCCAGTCCCCCTTACTCTCAAGCCCCTGGCAACCATTATTCTACTTTCTATCTCTATAAATTGGATTCTAGATACCTCACATAAGTGGAATCATGCAGTATTTGTTTTTTTGTGACTGGCTTCTTTCACTTAGTCTTCAAGGTCCATCCATGTTGTAGCATGTGTCAGAGTTGCCTTCCTTTCTAAGGCCACGTATTATTGCATAGTATATACCGCATTTTGTTTATCCATTCATCCATTAATGGGCACTGGGTGGCTTCCACCTGAAAAAAGCTTTTAAAACAATGTTTACAGTAAGAAAAACATTGATTGTTGACTCATAGAGACAAACTGTCTTAAGCCTGCTTTATGGGATCATCAGAAATGTTTTAATAAAAATGCTATTTTATAGACACAGGGCCCAAACATTTCATGTAGTGTCGTAGTCAGGTTGTTCAGATCTAGATCTAAACCAAGTCAGGGGCAAAACTTCCTGGCGGCGTAGATTCTGTTAAAGACATTTTCATTGTTAAGTGTGGATTCTGCCTATGGTAACCTACCCTCAACCAATCCTTATAAGGTGAAAAATGTATTAAAACAAAAAATATGAGTAATTTTCTAGGGTCATGTATCCTTGAAACTTTTATGGTTGTCATTTTGTCTTTGATACAATTAGAGTGTTTTGCGAGAATCAGAATGCACGGAAAACTCACTTTGGTCCGGGGCAAGTTTGTCCCAACACAACAGAGGATGTGAAATGGTTAACAATCCAACCTAGGAGTGCTGCAGGCAGGGAGGAGAATGTGTCAGAAGAAGCAAGCCAGCAATGTTTTTGCAGAGGTAGGGAAGGAAAACAATTTCTATTTGGATTCGCGAGTTATTATTCCCACTAAAAGGAGCAAACTTATTCTCCCCTATCTTCCTTTAGGATTTGGGGGGAACACAGAAGTTTCAGGCAGCGGTATTCAGGGAGAGACAGAAGGCGGCAGTCACGTAGGAGAAAAAGCCACTCCCGAGGTGATAAATGACTGGCAAATAGGCATTCAACACAGCACTGAAAGAAAGGCAAGCACTCTTCTGTAACTACAATAGATGAAGACTCTTAAAAACCTGAAGCAAAGAGACAGCTATTTTCTGAAATGAGTAATAATGACATTGATATCAGGAAGTAACCATTCCAGCACAGAATGGCATAGAACAAGAACAGCCTGGGACGCAGAGGATCGGCAGGACCTGGATCATGTGAGAAGAAAATAAATCCCCACAGGACCAGACATGGGCAATTCCTGTCACGTTTGACTAAGGCTTTTCACCGGTTCCCCCAAAGAGGGGAGGTGGGATGTTAATATCAGAACCCCACTATGTATTTCTTATTGTTGTTGCTTGTATAATTATGTTTAAGATAAATGCATATTAAATTGTGTGTAGTTCTCATTGTACAAGGCGGATACCGATCTTTTTGTTGTCTTCTTAATACCCTGAGTTAGAGTCCTTTCAGGTGTTCTTGTTGACTGGTTTGTGCATCAACTGCAGCCTTCTGACTTCTGCAGGCGAAATTCTGGTCCTGGGCATCATCCTTATGGAAGAGGATCTTCACCTGGCATATTCCTGTTTTCAGATGCCTCACATTACCAGGCTATAGTTCATGGAAATGATAATGTGGCCTCAGTTTACTGTCTCTATAGACATCTGTGTTCTACTGTATTTTTTGGGTTTTCCAGCTTTTTCTTAATGTTCCTGAAGAATACAGGAGATGCAATGCAGGAGTAGGGAGACATATACCATGCCAAGAACTTAAGTTCCCCAAATGGCTCTGCTCTTGAATAGAAAACAAGAAAAGACTAGTTAGGCTAATAATCACCAGACTGATGATGGGAACTGGGTAGTGGCCTTTTGCAATGATAATGAAGCTGGCTGCAGATCAACAGCTGCCTCTTGAGGTACAACCCTTAAAGCTTATTAAAGCAATTAGTCTTTAGAGTTGTCTAAATCTTACCTCCCAACTCCTGTTTACATGCACCCTGGTGTAGAGCAGTTGCTCAGCTAAGGTAACAAGTCTCTATGGCAGGGCTTCTCTGTACCGGCACGTGTACCCCTGTGCTCACTGCCCTCAGAAGCCAGCATGCTTGGTGGGCTTCCATGTATGGAGACAGTTAAAATTACTTTTCTCCCCCAATTTTTTTATGCAGGGGGAGAGGAGGAAGGATTGGGAAAAGGGACGATGGCTAAGGGTTGGCTCATTTCCCAAGGAGTTAGAGCTGACTGCCTTTTCTTTTTAGTTGATGGCTTCTAGGATACAATATGGTTTTCGTTCATTAAGTTCTGAGTCACTCTTGGTTTTCTGGATCACCTCAGATGGAACCTTTCCCTTAGCCTCTGTTTCGACATCTGTGAATTGGAAAATTCCACGTAGTTTCTCTGTATACTTCATAGAGATATAGAACAACCAACAAGGCTGTGTTTTATGCAATAACACAAGTAATTTTGGGAAAAGAGTCTAGAGTCAATTTTCTGCAACATTTTCATAGATGCAAAAGGCAACTTGAGAACATTTACGCTTGGGCATCCTCTGTTACATACAACAGAGCTACAGTCCAGAGAGAGTATATGACTTGAGAAAGGTCATAGGGTGGTTTCATGACAGAGTTGGCTCTAGGACTCAAAGCCTCTGACTCTCAAATCACGTCTCCCCCTGCTCCCCATTATCCTTCGCTCTTTCCCCATTGCCTTTGTTTAATGTACGTTGTCAATTCTGAAATCCCAGACCTTTAGGCTCCTGTGCACACCACTCAGAAACGATTCTACGTAGATCTCAATGTAATTAAACTCGCTTTTCCTTAACAATGTGGTAGGATTGACATTTTAGCAGCTTAAGTCTTTTTTTTATTCCCTGACAGATTATTTTCTTTATTCAGATCAAGCCTGTGTTCTATTTTGAATGCTGGGAGCATGTAGATTTTTTTTTTCATTTAGGATTTGAGGCAATTAGAACCACAAATTAATTTCTCACATTAAGAGGAATGTGTTGTCTTCCGACCTGCACCTGCTTAACCCCATTTCCAGTGATTTGTAGGTTGTAGTACTAAAGAGGAAGAGGAAATACTTAGACAGGGTCAGAGGGAATCACTAATGGCTAATCAATAACTGGGGAGTACTTCAAAACTCTGAAGAGACATGGCATAGTGTTGTGGAAGCTGTGGGACCACTTAGCTGTGGTTTCACTTATGTGGGGTTACCGGAAAGATCCAGAATGGACCATCATGCATCTGACATCTCCACCTATATGTCTTGTAGTCACTTCAAACTCAACAACAAATTCATGTGTCCCCCTCACCCCTCTGCCCTACCCCCAAACTTGCTTCTTCTCTTGTATTTCCAGCCTTTGTTAAGGGTGTCAACGTCCACAGCCATCTGAGCCAGAAACCGTAGCCCTGTCCTTGGTGCCTCTTTCTTCCTTACTCTCTATCATGAACACGGGTTGGCTTCCTACTCAGCATCCATTCCTTTCCTCTCCTATTGCTGACAGCACCAGCATTTTCTTTCGGGAATCATGCCCTCCACCCTATATTTGCTATGTGGTTTGAGTAGAATGTACCCTGTCGCTTGCCCAAGCAGCGGGCCCTGATGAATTAGAGTCAGTCAGCATAATTCCTTCCCTTTCTGCCATAGAGACTGTCTCAGAGGCCTAAGCCATTCAATGTATGGCCTTCCACCCCATCCCGCTGCCCCAGGGGTTGGTTCAGTTTGGTCCAAATAGAGAAAATGGAGGGCTTTTATATAATGACTTAAGTTAGGAAAAACCTCTCTTTTGTTTTGAATGAGAGGATATGCAACTATGAGGTGTGGAGAAGCTGAGTCCATTTTGCTACCATGAAGAAAGCCAGCTTGAAGATACAGCCATTTACTCAGGAGAGCAGAGCCAAGCAAATCACAAAAAAACAAGAGTCAGAGCCCAGGGCCTCTCTCATTGTAACACATTGAAGCCCAACCTACCACTGATGTTTTCGTTACATGAGTGAACCAGTTGCCTTCATCGTTTTTGCCAGTTTGTGTTGAATTGCGTTGTTCTGGCAATCAAAGGCATCCTTCGCTAATATGCTGTCCTCCAATTATTCACTCCATCCTATTGATTTGGCTTCTTTAATACATGGCAAATTCAACCTCCTTCTAGTCTCCATAGTGTCACTAGCTAATTCACTAGGCAGTTGCTATCTTAGTCATTGGGCCCCAATTTAATTTTTGAAATGACATCTTTACTATTGAGAAACTTTCTAATAATGTAGAAGCCAAATAATTCAGAGATTAAAAGGCTGACTGATGGTCCCCAAAGCTATCAAATATATGGAGTGTTTTACATCCCATGGATAGGTCTTATGTAAATAAGGTCCTTCATGAGTTTCTTCTAGTTTCCCAGCCTCACCTTCTGCATCCCTTGTCCACATGCCTCATGCTGCAACTGCACCATGTTTCTTGCATTCCATACTCTTTTATGATTCTGTATTTTCAATGAAAAAAAAATTTATTTTCTTATTGTGGCAAAAAACACATAACATAAAATTTACCACCCTAACCATTTTTAAGTATACAGCTCAGTGGTGTTAAATACATTCACACTGTATTTATTTGTATCTCCAGAACTTTTTCATCCAGCAAATCTAAAACTCTATGTCCATTAAACAACAACCCCCTTTACCCTCCTCCTCCACCCCCTGTAACCACTTCCTGTTTCTATGAATTTGACCACTTCAGCTACCTCATATAAGTAGGATTTGTCTTTTTGTGACTGGATTATTTCATTTAACATAATATCTTAAAGGATCACCTATGTTGTTGCATGTGATAGAATTATCTTCCTTTTAAGACTGAATAACATTCCACCATGTGTATCTACCATATTTTGTTTATCCATTTAATTTTGAGGCACACTTGGGTTGCTTCTACCTCTTGGCTATTGTGATAATGCTGCTATGAACACGGGTGTGTAAATATCTCTTCAAGATCCCACTTCCAATTTTTTTGGGTATGTATCTAGAAGGGGAACCTCTGAATCATATTGGCTGTTTTTAATTAGATTGTGCAAAGCCTTGCTGTAGCAGCCTCCAAGCTGACCTCTGCATCTAGCCTGAGATTCGGTGCTTGCCTGAGCTTAACATAAATAGTGTTACCCTGTTTATTGATCCTGCCCGTGGTGAGGTAGCTGCTGTTTGCCTCGAGATGGAGGCCTGTGTGAGTGCTGTGAATTGATGACCAGCCTAGGGAGAAGGCTGGGGGAAGGTGAAGGACTGCAGTCACAAACAAAGCCCAGAGCCTCGTGGATGGCAGGCAGAGCTAGCTGGTGTGGCACAGAGTCACAGGATTCCGTGGCAGGAGGGAAGTTTAGAGATCACACAGCGTGTCTTTTAATGGATAAGCACCCTTACAGATGAGGCCCAGAGAGGTTAAGTGACTTGCCCAAAGTCATTCAGGTAAGCAGAGCCTCAATGAGAACTAGCCTGTTACAGCTTATAGGCTAGTGCTCTGTTCATGGTACCACAGATCAGGCATCTGTGTAAACAAAAGGTCTTCATGGAGGTCAAGCCAGGGACAGCCCTCCCCTCTCAAGGGCTGAGAGTCCATGGCTGGGTCAGGAGAGAAGCTGGCTTGGACCAAGAAGGTATTGAGATGGGGCAGAGAATGGGGTGTGACATCTCTCAGTGGCCCTTCATTCAGTGATCTTACCTATCTTAGCCAGTGGCTTATTAACTCAGTTCTATTACTATGTGCTAATGTCTACTCATGATAAATAAGGCTGATTTCCTCCCTTCCCTTCTCTTTTGTTCTCTCTCTTTCTTCCCTCCTTCCCTCCCTCTTTCCCTCCCTTCCTTCCTTCCTTCCTTCCTTCCTTCCTTCCTTCCTTCCTTCCTTCCTTCCTTCCTTCCTTCCTTCCTTCCTTCCTTCCTTCCTTCCTTCCTTCTTTCCTTCCCTCCATGACTATCTCTTTCCTTCTTCCTTCTCTTCTTGTTTCTTTCCTGAGTACCGCCTTTGTGTTGGATATTGTGTGCTATTGATCCAGAGATTGAAAAAGATTAGTTTTTGTCTTCTAGGAACACATAGAATAGATAAGAAGGGATGGGCAGGGGTTTGGGTCCTATTGGGGGATTAATCTTTGATTTGAAGGTTTCTTTCATGGAAATAATAAAAAGGAACTTCTAAGATAACTCTGGAAATAAAACAAACTGCTCTTAAAGACAGCCCTCACAATTCAGTATGAGAATCACTTATATATGATTCCTACATATTTATATGTTCCTCTCTTCTCTGATACCTCCTTGAATTTATTTATCATATTTGACCTTCATTGAACTTTCATCTACATTCATTTATTTTTA